CAAGACCTGGGAGCGGGGAGGTGCTGCGGTGAGGAAGCACTGGGACAGGGCCAGAAGCGCTGTGGTGGAGGCTGTGGGGTCCTGCCTTACCCAGATGAGCAGCTGCGTGAAGACTACGTTGGCCATGGCGCAGGACAGATGCAGCGCTGTGCGCCCGTCTCCATCCCCGTAGGTCTCATTCACTTCCTCCTTGGTGCCATGGGCCAGGAGCGTCACCACGAGGCGCAGGTCATCCTCTACCACAGCCCGCAGCAGCTGCTGCCCCAGCGGGATGTCTGATTGGGGCAGCGGAGCCAGGAAGAGCTTCTGCTCATACTTGGCCCGGATCCAGCGCTCCTTCTCCTCCCTGCCAGACAGGACACTGTCACAGGTGGGCCAACCTGCCTGGGCCCCGTGTGCGAAGGGGCGTGCATAGCAGTGCTGCCACCCTCAATGCACCCCATGTTACCAGTGCACGTTTGTCACACGCAGGTACCCCTGTGCATCGCCCCTGCTGCAGACACTTCCCCTGCCGTGCCCCCCGTCACTGGGGCTCTGTCACACTGCTCCGGACACGTGGCTGAGACACTTGCCTCGCTCCCTACACAGACTGCACTTATGCCTGTGCACATGCAGCAGCGTCCCACACCCAGACCCCACACCTGTCACTGTGCAAAGGGACACTCGCACCTCCACACTAGTGCCCCTGCACACTCTCCTGTGTGCCCATGATGTGGCAGTGCAGGGACCGTCTCTGTCCCATGCTTGCGCGTGGGCCGTGGCCAGCGGCAAGAAAAGGTTAGCTGCTGCACACGGCAGCCCAGTGCCACGGGAGGCGCGTTATCACTGCTGCCGTCTCGCCTGGTGCAAACAAAGGCTGCGGCAGCGTCCGTCCCGCCTGGGGCTGCGGGGCCGGGTGGATCGATGTGTGCCGTGCCGCCGCTATCTGCTGCCATTCTATCCATCTGCATCTGGCGGGCGGCCATCAATGCCCCGCGCCGAGCATGCTCACTCTCGCCGCCCCCTGACCCGCTCTTATCCGTTGATAAGCTGCAGAATGGGCTCTTGTTGGGATGAGTGACAGGAGAGTCGATCCGATAGGGACAGACAAGGGCCTGAAAGGGACGCACCCTTGAGACCCGCATGACGCTGCCAAGCCATCTCTGTTAACCCCTTCTGCTTTGCAGCCAGACACGGCTCCAGCAGTCACCGCATGGCCACCGCCGGCCCTGAAGCCCTGCTGGTCCACCAGGCAGAATGGGCTCTTGTTGGGATGAGTGACAGGAGAGTCGATCCGATAGGGACAGACAAGGGCCTGAAAGGGACGCACCCTTGAGACCCGCATGACGCTGCCAAGCCATCTCTGTTAACCCCTTCTGCTTTGCAGCCAGACACGGCTCCAGCAGTCACCGCATGGCCACCGCCGGCCCTGAAGCCCTGCTGGTCCACCAGGACGGTGGGAGAGGGCCTCCAGTGCCCAGAGAGCAGGCAGGACCCCAGCACTGGAGTACCTCGAGGATTCCTGTCCACCTCTCTGTTTGACTGGATGGCTGCTCCCAACCTCCTGTGGTGCCCTCAAGCCTCCTGGTGTAGTTGTCTGAGAAGCATCTCTGCGGTTGCCCATCTCCCTTACCGACTGCTCTCAGGGGTGGGCTTGGGGTAGCCTTCCACCGCTCCTTCCCAGACAGCGTTGGCCAGGGCATTGCCGATGGCCGTCATGACCATGAGAAGCTCGCTAGGCCAGTCATCCAGGTCCAAGGAGCGGACGCGGGACAGGTGGGTGCCCAGGTTGCGATGGATCCCGGAGCACTCAATGCACATGAGGGAGCCCAGGTTCAGACTTGCCCAGTCTGGATCTGAGGGCAGCAAGATCAATGGGGGAGAGTTAATACCAGCAGGGACTCACCAGCCTGTCTCCTGTGATCCAGGAGACCCACATTTGCAGGCACCTGCCCAGCAGATCCCTGCCAAGCCCAGCACCCCAGCAGCACAGACAGGCAAGGACGCCAGGCTGGTCAGTAAGGGGTCACGGACCAGTGTGGCAGGTGGGCCAGTCCCCCATCCCTGAAAACTGGGTCCACTACAGGAGAGGACTAGACAGCCCCACAGAGCAGGTTCCTCTGGGGTAAGACAGGAGGTGGCTGGGGTGAAGTCCCCCGGCCTCCCTGGGTGAGTGGCCCAACCGCCCAGTGCAGCATTTCTTACTCGGTGCATCGCAGTCCACGCAGAAGCTGTTCCCACGTGCAGTGCGGACGGCCTGCATGGCCTGTGCGTCACTCTGGCTGCCCAGCCGAGCCTGAAACAAAACATATGGGAACGCCGTTTACTCAAGGCCAACTGCCCCGCCACGTGTCCCCTCATCATCACCCCAAGAGCCGATCGGGGAGCTGCCAGCACCTCGCTCCAGCGGGCACCCCGCAGGCTCTGCTGCAGGAGGGGTGTCCAGCGCGGGCACTCAGAGATCAGGGTCCGGAAGGAAGACTGTGTGCCGGCTGCGTGCCAGGGGAGCAAAAAGGCAGAGATGTTCAAGGTGGGAGCGGGCAACACAGCATCCAGCCCTGGCAGGATGCAGAGAGCTCCGTGGGGCCGGAGCCAGGCTGGGGAGAGGACAGGGAGCTCCGAGAGGTGACAGGGAACCCGGTGGGGAGCAACACAGTCCCAGGGATGGGATTCAGCCCTAACTGAGAGCAGAGGGATCAGTACAGGGTCCAACCTGGACAGAGAGGGAAGCCTGAGACAGGGATGGATGCAGCAAAGCAGATGCCAGAGAGGAGGGAACAAAGCAGAACTCAGCCAAGGCCTCATACCTTATTTTTGCTGCTCTCACAGCCCTGCAGGCTGGCCAGGATCTGGCTCTCGATGGCCTGGACCCAAAGCTCTCGCTCCTCTGATGTTGAGGCCTCAAAAAGCCACGTCTGGCCCGTCAGGGACACAATAATGAACTCAAATGGCTCATCTGGTTCTGGAAAAGAAAGTTATGCCATGACATGGATCAGAGAAGGAGGGGGTCTGCTGGGCTCACAGGGTGTGAGCACACAGGCAGATCCCTGCAGGCCACCGCCGTGCGCACACGTGGGCAGGATCGCTGGCAGCAGTGGTCCCCAGGAAGCTGGGACAGGGAAACACAGGCAGAGAGTGCCTGCAGGGAGGAACCAGAGCTCTGCGCCAGCCCGTCTCTCCTGCTGCTTGCACGGCTCCCTGCGTGCCAGCTCCGCTAGCGTGGGCTTGCCCTTCTTTCTGAATATGAACGTCTGCAGCCTCGTTCTCCAACCATTCTGGGATGGGAAACCGAGGAGGCTGCGGCACCGGACTCCTGGAAGCTGCTTGCGCCCTGGTCTCCATACCCTGCGTGTCCCACCTTTGGAGAAAGCGGCCGACCTCTAGAGCAGTGGGATCGGCTCCTCCGCAGAGCTGGTGCCCCCAAACAGCCCCATCACCCCCCAACGGCCCCCAGAGCGCTCGGTGTCTGTCGACAAATGGCTTTAGAGGGACAGAGCCATGCACACTGAATGGGGAGATGCAAGGAAGGCCCTTGCAGATGGCTCAAAGGCAGCTAGCTCTTCACTGTCCTGTGCATCGAGAGGGGGCATCATTGCCAGCTGAGGAGCGCAGCAGAACAGGGAACCCGCTTGGGAAGCCCTCAGTGCCAGGGAGCTCCACGGACCCCCATGACAGGGCACAGTTGCTGTTTTCCCGTGGAGAAGCACTCAGTCACAGAGATCAGGGCAGTAGCTATGAAGCAGCAAGAGTGATGCCATTCTCATCTCTGGCACCTCTCAGTGCCCTGCCGAGCAGGTGGCCTCCGGCTCCCAAATGTGGGAAACTGGTGGCCATGGTGGTTCCTGGAAGCCAGCCGAGCGGAGCTGCTTCCACGAGGCACAGGGAGGGCGGCTGGGAGGGCGGCAGGGATGCGTGCAGGGATGCGTGCAGGGAGGGCGGTAGGGAGGGTGGCAGGGATGTGCACAGGGCAAAGTGCCCGGAGGGCAGAGCCAGGCAACTGCAAGCAACCCCAGAAGATACGGCCTCAATATTAACGCACTTCTCTAGCTGTGAAACATGTGGGGACAAATTCCTGACTTTCCGTTTTCAGGGAAGATGGTTCTGGTGAGCCCCAAGGGTCCCTCAGACTGCCAGGCACTTAAGAAGCTGGGTACAAACGGAACTGTTAGCATCCCTACAAACGCAGGCTGCCTGGGGGGTTTCCAGGGAGGGTGTCAGAGCACAGACACCTCTGGGCTGGGTGGCAGAGCCAGCAGCAGAGAGACAGGGGACAGTGAAAATGTGTGAAAGCACCCCAGATCCCCTGGGCCTAAGAAAACATCCCCAAAACAACCAAAAGCCTGCCAAAAAACAAGGCTTAACATGTGGTCTCCCCCTCTGGCTACTGCTCTGACTGCTGTAACGCCCTCCCAGTCCGGGCTGCTGGGGCTGGGCTCTGCCCTGCCAGCCCATGCACCGAGCGGGCATGGGGGCCTCAGACTGACATGGGGTGCCCTGTCTCAGCTTTGCACCCAAGCACCAGCATTTACCTTTTATTGCCAACTTCAGTAGTTAGTGCAGTAAATGACTTAACTAAGCGGGGCCTGAATGGAATGACTAATAAACGTTATGTCACAGCACACGCTTCAGCTCATAGCAAAATGATTTGTAATTACCTAATTAGCGTTATGCAAATAACACCCTCATCTCCATAATGTGCCTTCCCAGCTCTCTATTAAAAGCAGGGAGTCAACTGCACAGCTCCAGAGACAGCAAGGAGGCCGAGGAGCCCAGCCTGGTCCACAGCAAGGCAGAGCTGTGCCGGCCTCCAGCCCGGGGCAGACGCGGGGAGGTGAGCGGAGGGGGTCTGGGGGGGGCGATTCTCCTCTGCCTGACTCCCCCCAAACTGCGGCCGGAGGAGTCTCTTACTGCGGAGGGAAGCAGCAGGAGGGCAATGACTGAGGAACCTGCTGCAGCCTGCAGCACCCCAGCAGAGATAATGAACGGGTGCAGAGGCCACCAGCCGGGTCCCACCAAGGTCATGGCCAACCTCAGCTGCTGCTGGGCCACCTGGCACCAGCTGAGCAAGGCTGTGTCCACAAAACCTCTCAGAAAACGGGTGCTGCCACAGGAAGTCTCCTTGAGGAAAGACAGCTCTGATGGGGATGGCACTAGAGCACAGCTCTTCCTCTCCTGCAAGTGCTCCTTCCAGGCTCTTGCTTCCTTTGGAGGCACCACCACCTGCATTAACAAATACTGGGCACCGCACCGAACTCTCTCCTTCCACCACGCACAACTGCTTACCGCAGAACAACCCGAGGGTAAAATGCTGTTCCTGCACGGGAACACGGTGGAGAGTGTCATGCTACTCACACAGCAGGCTCAGGATCTTGCACTTCGTGGGGGTTGAAAGTGTGAGTGACAAGATGCCTGCCCTTCACCAAGGCTGAGAGCACTCCATGGTGTGTCCTGCACAGATCCCAGCAGCAGCTATGGGGGCTTGGAGATTATCAGCCTTGGTGAAATAGGAATGCAAGGCTAGATGTCCACACCAGTATACCCTTGAGAGGATTGAATGACTCCAGGATGAAGGGCTCTCCAGGTGAAGTGCCAACTGGCTTGCCTTTCCCAGACAGGAAGGGGAGGCTGTTTCACTAATTTCACCCTAGAATCAGCTTGTGACTCTTCCTCTGGGGAAAGATGTCTGCAACCGCCTTTCTCCTGCTGGGGAACAAGAAACCCTGGGGGATCAGGAGGAGGACGAGACTGCAGGGTGCTGGCAGTCAGGCACGCTGCTGGACTCTTCCCCTCTCTGTGATGCGCTTGCCTAACTGGGACATCGACCTTGCCCAGCACTTTGCCCTTTCCTCCAGCTCTCAGCCGCAGAAGAGACCCCACCGTGCCTTCTCTGGGGAGCTCCCTGCACTCAATGTGCCTCCTACCCTAAGGACGTTTGCTGTGGAGGCTCCAAGGACACCAAATGCCAGCTCAAAAACAAGAGTCTTGGAAAATATAGAGCTGGTAAGTTCTGAATACTGGAGAAGAAACAACTAGACAACAGCCAGGCTAATAGCCACTGCCTCCATGGCTAGCTAGCGCCATCCTCTTTGTGAGCACTGCCACAGCCCGAGCATGGGCAGGGAGCACCCACCCACCGATGGCAGCCAGCAACAGGAACCTCCTACCACAGCACTCAGCTGCACCTCCCCAGCCCCTGCTCGGCTCCAGCCCACTCATGAGCCAGCAGCTGCCCCCACCTCTTCCACCGTCCCTGCACTGGGACCTGCAGCTGTTCTTAGAGACCGTTCCTTCTACCTCTGCAGGAGGCTACAAGAGAGCAAGGATCAGGCCCCTGACAGCTGCAGGATCAATTGCTGCCCAGGGTGAAGCATTAATAGCCAGGAAGGAAGGAGTGGCGTTTCTTCCTGGGGACAGTGACTGCCCAGGTGCTTGAGGGAGCGTTCGCAGTTCCCAGACCTTGGATCTGGCTGCACTGCTGGAGCAGCAACCAACAAAGCCACTCCTGGGGCACCCTGATTTATCAGGACGGGTCCTGCTCTCCTTAAATCTCTCCTATCCTTGGTCTGAGCCACCCGTGGCTGCTGTCAGTGTGTTGCAGAGCCCAGGCCAGGCACTTGGACCTGGGAAGTCCTGGATGCGCTTCAAGTGCTCCCTGCTGTTGAGCCGCTTCTGATGGCACTGAAACAGCAGCAAGCAGGT